CCACCCCTCCACCCCCATCCCTCCGCCTGGGTTTCATAGGTTTACACCGTCGTGAGAGTAGGGGCCCTCTCTTTTTGTTCTAAGCTTCTCTTTCTGGTCTAAGCTTCTCTTTCACTATAGGCCGATTATTCCGCAAGGTGATTGGTCAAAAGAGCGCTCAGTCGGGCTTCGTCCCGCCTTTAACCCCCCATCTTTTACAGCGGGCTTTTTGGGGGGCAGCCTAAACAGAGCAGAGGGGAAAGGCGGATCCTTAAGAGGGTCGGGCTCGTTTACTGCGCATGCTTGGAACTTTGGGTGAGCCGGGGCCTCTCCTACCTCACGCGGTTACTTGCGTGTGTGCTCCCTGAATTGGGTTTCCTGCCACCTTTCAACTACCTCTTCTTGCCTGCCACAGCTCCGCCCACGGCTCCCCTGACTCTGCGATTTTATTTCCATTTTATTTATTGTGTGCCTGTTGTGTGCCAAGCACTGCCAGGCAGACCTAATTCCTCGCTCCTCTCTGCCTGGAAAACTACACTATCAAGTCCAGCTCAGAAGGCTGCAGCCTTGCAGGTCTTCCGGAACATCCTTACATTGCATCCCTGTTCAAAGGCAGCCTCCCTGCCTCTTCTAGGCCTCTCTTAATGGAAGCCTTGGTCACACCAGTTAGGATTTTAGGTAAAGTTTGTATTAGGATTACCTGGGCTATGATAGGAGTGGAAATATTTGACAAAGACAAAAGTGCTCGCCGTGGCCTAGATAATCAGGTCCATCACTTACCTAACCTCACCCACCCTTTTTTCTCCTCCTTCTTAGCTGTTCCTGAATAAAGCAGGCACGATCCAGCCTCAGGGACTTTGCACTAGCTCTTTTCCCTGGAACGTTTTTGCCCCATGCCTCATTCCCTCACTTCCAAGTGCTTGCTTCAAAGTTACCTTCTCTCCGGATCCTTCCCCGACTACCCTATTTAAAAATTACTACCTGCACCACCATCATTCCAGATCGCCAAAACAGACAATATTCATCTGTTGAAAAGCACTGATCAATTTCTAACATAATTTCACTTATTGTGTTTATGGCCTATCATGGGTCTCATCCTAGCAGAACACAACAAACCCCAGGACAGGGATGTTTTATCCACTGCTGTGTCCCAAATGCCTAGAAAGTGCCTGGCACAGAGCACTCAACAAATGTCTGTTGAATGCCTGAATGGCAAATAGTTCCAGGCTGAGCCCTGGTTTCCCATTTGGCTGATGTTATAATAATGGTAGACAAACATGACAGAGAAGTAAAATGATATGGGATCTGACAAGTTCATGAACTTGCCAACGTGCACTTGTCGGCAGCACTGTATAAACAACCTGGTATGGTTTTATAACCTTGGTATATCAATGTCTTACAGCTGTGTTCACGTGGATGTGTGGTGGTGTCTTGCTGGGTAGCATTCATTGTTGTTGCACATTTTTGTGTGCCATTACGAGAATGTCAGAGATTGAATTAGTGCAATGAACAAATGTTACATTTCTTGTTAAACTTGGCAAGAGTGGAAGTGAAATCAGGGACATGTTAGTCCAAGTTTATGGGGATAATGCAATGAAGAAGACGGCAGTGTACAAATGGATTAAACGCTTTTCTGAGGGGAGAAAAAGTGTCACTGATGAAGAGCAGTCAGGACAGTAACAAGCAGAACTGATGAAAACATTGCAAAACCTTATCCAATTTGCACCAAATCGTCAGCTGACTGTGAGGAGTATGGCAGACCAAAAAACATCGATAAACAGGAAAATCTTAACTGAAAACCTTGGCATGAGAAAGGTGTGTGCAAAATGGTCCTGAAGGAGCTCTTGCTTCATGACAATGTACCAGCTCACACTGGCACTGCACCAGCACTGTGAGGGAGTTTTTAGCCAGTAAAAAAATAACTGGGCTGGCTCCATGGCTCAGCCTGTAATCCCAGCACTTTGGGAAGCTGATGCAAGTGGATTGCCTGAGCCTGCAGGTTCGAGACCAGCCCGGGCAACTTGGTGAGACCTGTCTCTACAATAAATCAAAAATCAGTCGGGCATGGTAGTGCACGCCTGTAGTTCCGGCTACTTGGAAGGCTGAGGCAGAAGGATCGCCAGAGCCCAGCAGGTCGAGGCTGCGGTGGCCGGGAGCATGCTACTGCACTCCAGCCTGGACGCCAATGAGACTCCAACTCAAAATAAATAAATAAATAAAATAACTGTATTGGAATACCCTCCCTACTCACCTGATCTGGCTCCCAATGACTTTTTTCTTCACCCGAAAGGAAATATTGAGAGTTCCAAAATTGCTGTGATGAGTGTACTAGGCACTGGCATCGGTGCATTGTTTCCCAAGGGCAGTACTTTGAAGGTGACTGTAGTGATATTCAGCAATGAGGTATGTGGCACTTTTTCTAGGACGAGTTCGTGAACTTGTCAGACCTCATATGCATATGGGGGGAACAAATAGGATGCAACCAGGATTCATGGGTGCCTCAAGCTCGTTTTGATGGAGACAAGTGCCAGGTACAAACAAGATTATCAAGGAGATCCAGCAGCTGTGGTGAAGAAAGAAAAGTATCTGGAAAAGCAGATACTGGAGGAGGTATCCGTGAAGGAGTAGGGATAGTGGAGAAAGGCAGAGGAATAGAGTTGTGGGTAAGTATCAGCTGCTGTGATGGTAGGCAGAGGTGTGGAGTATCTGGTATACTCTGGAATAATGGGAAAGAAGCCGGGCTCAGTGGCTCAGCCTGTAATCCTGCGCCTTGGGAGTTTGAGGTGAGTGAACTGCCTGAGCCCGCGGGTTCGAGACCCGCCTGGGCAACTTGGTGAGACCTCATCTCTACAGTAAATTAAAAAAAATTAGCCGGGTGTGGTAGCGTGCGCCTGTAGTTCCAGCTACTTCGAAGGCTAAGGCCGAAGGATGGCCGGAGCCCAGCAGGTCGAGGCTGCGGTGGCCGGGAGTGGCCACTGTACTCCAGTCTGGGCGACAGAGTGAGACTCCGACTCAAAAAAAAATAATGGGAAAGAGCCTGTGGTGGGAAAACCTCTCTACTTGACCTACAGCCAACATCAACACTAGATACAAGAGGTAAAGTGCCTCTGTCCCCGATGTCCTAGTGGGGACTAAGAAGGAACTATAGAAGGATGAGGTCACTCAAATCAAGAACAGCACAGAAAAGACTTTCAGGAGGAAGAGGTGGATAAGGACATATAACTGAGCCTGGGGCCTGAAACTGGCCCAGAAAGCAGAAGATGTGGGCACAGGCTATGATGGGAACCAGGCCAGATACAAGAACAGGCTGAGCTATTCCAGACACTCAGGTTTGAGCAGAGAAATGAGATAGGATAGAGATATTGGTATTTGATTAGGTGAAGGACAGAGGTATGAATAGTATCCTTAGGCACCAAGAACCAGTACAATGGAGGGAGGCACAAATGTGGTAGTGGCCAGCCAGATTGGTGCTATAAAGTTTAGCACTCAGCCAAGGCTAAGCACGGAACACGGCAGCTCTGTAGTCCTGGAGTGAGCCTCCTGCTACCTGCTCCAAGTTAAGAAACATCCTTCAGTCCCCACAGCCAGCTCTCTTCTCCACAGTAGGAGGCGTGAAGACCCTTAAGGGGACTACAAACAAACCTGGGGCCGAGGGGGACAAAGAGAGGCAGAAAAAGGGTCTTTTCCTCTACAGATGTTCTTGGCCAAATATTTCCATTAAAACTGCATAGCCTGCCTGAAGGCACTGGCATTCTTCAGGCCAGTAGAGAGCTGTTTGAGACCCCCTGCAGCATGAAGTTAAACTAAGCACCACAGGTTCCTGGTCCCAGGAACCATGACTGTACACAGGCTTGTCCAGGGTCTAAGTGCTTCAAGCTCACATGGTAAGGGATCTGTGCCAAGAACATAAGGCATGCTTGACCACATCATGGCAGTCTGGTCACCATGACTTTCCTCTTCACAGAGCTGGGAGGTAGGACATGAAGAAGGCAAGATTTTAACCCAACTCAATAACATCACATGGACACAGGTACCTGCTCTCTATGGCCTCACTAATGCCCCCATTTCTTCATAAGCAATTACCATATTTTCTCTGCCCCCGAAACTGTCTGCTGGGGCAAGGCTGAGCCCTTTGGGTTACCATCTGAACCAGACAGCTCTAGGAAGCCCCTTCCTTCCCTGGATCCAGCAGGGCAGGCCACATGGGGATTAATAATTCTTTATTAGGATTCAGGTTCCAAACAAGGTAGAAAGCAGCGGCAAGAGAGGTTCAGGTACGGGGATGATGAGGGAACACCAGGCTTGGCTAGCTGGGCCAGAAGCCAAAATGGGAGCCCTGGGCTGGAAGGGGTCTGGAGAGGGGTGGAGTGGGGCCAGCCTAGAGGAGCAGACAGGGGTCAACGGATGGTGTATCGTACATAGGGGACCTCGACATCCTCGCCGCTCTCGTCGTTGCAGCACAGCTCAAGCACCAGCGCCCGCACATGGCGGCCCAGCTTTCGCTTCGACACACGGCTTACAATCTCTGTCATCCTGGGGATGGGGGTGGAGGGTCAGGAAGGCAGAAAGCAAGAGTGGAAGGGCAGGTAGGTTGGCGCAGAGAAGGTAATGGACAGTGAACAGGAGTGGGGTACCTGGAAGATGAGGCTCCCCATCCCACACAGGGTGTCCCCCACCCTGCCCAGTGGCCAACTCACGGCTGATCCAACCGTTCCTTGAGCTTGGCGGCTGGCATGAAGAAGGAATACAGCATGGACACACCCTGGGACAGCATGGTGATCTCTAACTTGTGCTCTGTCTGGAGAGAGAGGGAGGGGGAACAGCAGTGTCATGGGGTACACAGGCCAGTAAGTCACCTTGCACGCTTCATCCTCCAGGTGGGATGAGTGAGGAGGGGCTTTACCTTAAAGTAGTCGAGGAACTGTTTGAGGGTCATCTCCTCACCGTTAGACTGCAGCCCCTGCACCTCAAAGCGATCCCACAATGTCCACTCTTGGTTAT